CACGTCCACCCACCCACCTGTACACATGTCCACCAACCTGTACACATGTCCACCGACCTGTACACATGTCCACCCAACTGTACACATATCCACCCACCCACCTGTACACACGTCCATCCACCTGTACACATGTCCACCCAACTGTACACATGTCCATCCACCTGTACACATCTCCACCCACCCACCTGTACACACATCCACCCACCTGTACACACGTCCACCCACCCACATGTACACATCTCCCAGTCCACCCACCTGTACACATGTCCACCCACCTGTACACATGTCCACCCACCCACCTGTACACATGTCCATCCACCCACCTGTACACACGTCCACCCACCCACCTGTACACACGTCCACCCACCCACCTGTACACATGTCAACCCACCTGTACACACGTCCACCCAACCACCTGTACACACGTCCACCCACCCACCTGTACACATGTCAACCCACCTGTACACATGTCTACCCAACCACCTGTACACACATCCACCCACCTGGACACATGTCCACCCACCCACCTGTACACATGTCCACCCACCTGAACACATCTCCACCCACCCACCTGTACACACGTCCACCCACCTGTACACATGTCCACCCATCTGTACACATCTCCATCCACCCATCTGTACACATGTCCACCCACCCACCTGTACACATGTCCACCCACCTGTACACACGTCCACCCATACACATGTCCACCCACCCACCTGTACACATGTCCACCCACCTGTACACACATCCACCCACCCACCTATACACATGTCCACCCACCTGTACACATCTCCACCCACCTGTACACATCTCCACCCACCCACCTGTACACACATCCACCCACCCACCTGTACACATGTCCACCCACCTGTACACATGTCCACCCACCTGTACACATCTCCACCCACCCACCTGTACACATCTCCACCCACATGTACACATCTCCCAGTCCACCCACCTGTACACCTCTCCACCCATCTGTACACATCTCCACCCACCTGTACACACGTCCACCCACCTGAAAACATCGCTCAGTCCACCCACCTGTACACATGTCCACCCACCTGTACACACGTCCACCCACCCACCTGTACACATGTCCACCCACCTGTACACATATCCACCCACCTGTACACACGTCCACCCACCTGTACACATGTCCACCCACCTGTACACATGTCCACCCACCTGTACACATATCCACCCACCTGTACACACGTCCACCCACCTGTACACACGTCCACCCACCTGTACACATGTCCACCCACCTGTACACATGTCCACCCACCTGTACACATGTCCACCCACCTGTACACACGTCCACCCACCTGTACACATCTCCCGATCCACCCACCTGTACACATCTCCCGATCCACCCACCTGTACTCATCTCCACCCACCTGTACACATCTCCCAGTCCACCCACCTGTACACATGTCCACCCACCTGTACACATGTCCACCCACCTGTACACACGTCCACCCACCCACCTGTACACATGTCCACCCACCTGTACACATGTCCACCCACCCACCTGTACACATGTCCACCCACCTGAACACATCTCCACCCACCTGTACACATGTCCACCCACCTGTACACACGTCCACCCACCCACCTGTACACATGTCCACCCACCTGTACACACGTCCACCCACCCACCTGTACACATGTCCACCCACCTGTACACATGTCCACCCACCTGTACACACGTCCACCCACCTGTACACATCTCCCGATCCACCCACCTGTACACATCTCCCGATCCACCCACCTGTACTCATCTCCACCCACCTGTACACATCTCCCGATCCACCCACCTGTACTCATCTCCACCCACCTGTACACATCTCCCAGTCCACCCACCTGTACTCATCTCCACCCACCTGTACTCATCTCCACCCACCTGTACACATCTCCCAGTCCACCCACCTGTACTCATCTCCACCCACCTGTACTCATCTCCACCCACCTGTACTCATCTCCACCCACCTGTACACATCTCCCGATCCACCCACCTGTACACATCTCCCAGTCCACCCACCTGTACACATCTCCCAGTCCACCCACCTGTACTCATCTCCCAGTCCACCCACCTGTACTCATCTCCACTCACCTGTACACATCTCCCGATCCACCCACCTGTACTCATCTCCCAGTCCACCCACCTGTACTCATCTCCCAGTCCACCCACCTGTACACATCTCCCAGTCCACCCACCTGTACTCATCTCCCAGTCCACCCACCTGTACACATCTCCCAGTCCACCCACCTGTACACATCTCCCAGTCCACCCACCTGTACTCATCTCCCAGTCCACCCACCTGTACACATCTCCCAGTCCACCCACCTGTACTCATCTCCCAGTCCACCCACCTGTACTCATCTCCCAGTCCACCCACCTGTACACATCTCCCAGTCCACCCACCTGTACACATCTCCCAGTCCACCCACCTGTACACATGTCCACCCACCTGTACACATGTCCACCCACCTGTACTCATCTCCCAGTCCACCCACCTGTACTCATCTCCCAGTCCACCCACCTGTACACATGTCCACCCACCTGTACACATCTCCCAGTCCACCCACCTGTACTCATCTCCCAGTCCACCCACCTGTACACATCTCCCAGTCCACCCACCTGTACACATGTCCACCCACCTGTACTCATCTCCCAGTCCACCCACCTGTACACATCTCCCAGTCCACCCACCTGTACACATCTCCCAGTCCACCCACCTGTACTCATCTCCACCCACCTGTACACATCTCCCAGTCCACCCACCTGTACACATCTCCCAGTCCACCCACCTGTACACATCTCCTCCCACCTGTACTCATCTCCCAGTCCACCCACCTGTACACATCTCCCAGTCCACCCACCTGTACACATCTCCACCCACCTGTACACATCTCCCAGTCCACCCACCTGTACACATCTCCCGATCCACCTGTACACATCTCCCAGTCCACCCACCTGTACACATCTCCACCCACCTGTACACATCTCCTCCCACCTGTACACATCTCCCAGTCCACCCACCTGTACACATCTCCCAGTCCACCCACCTGTACACATCTCCACCCACCTGTACACATCTCCTCCCACCTGTACTCATCTCCCAGTCCACCCACCTGTACACATCTCCCAGTCCACCCACCTGTACACATCTCCACCCACCTGTACACATCTCCCAGTCCACCCACCTGTACTCATCTCCCGATCCACCCACCTGTACACATCTCCCAGTCCACCCACCTGTACACATCTCCTCCCACCTGTACTCATCTCCCAGTCCACCCACCTGTACACATCTCCCAGTCCACCCACCTGTACACATCTCCACCCACCTGTACACATCTCCCAGTCCACCCACCTGTACTCATCTCCACCCACCTGTACTCATCTCCGCCCACCTGTACACATCTCCCGATCCACCCACCTGTACACATCTCCCGATCCACCTGTACACATCTCCCAGTCCACCCACCTGTACACATCTCCCAGTCCACCCACCTGTACACATCTCTGCCCACCTGTACACATCTCCAAGTCCACCCACCTGTACACATCTCCCAGTCCACCCACCTGTACACATCTCCCAGTCCACCCACCTGTACACATCTCCGCCCACCTGTACACATCTCCCGATCCACCCACCTGTACACATCTCCCAGTCCACCCACCTGTACTCATCTCCCAGTCCACCCACCTGTACACATCTCCCAGTCCACCCACCTGTACTCATCTCCTCCCACCTGTACACATCTCCCAGTCCACCCACCTGTACACATCTCCGCCCACCTGTACACATCTCCCGATCCACCCACCTGTACACATCTCCCAGTCCACCCACCTGTACTCATCTCCTCCCACCTGTACACATCTCCCAGTCCACCCACCTGTACACATCTCCGCCCACCTGTACACATCTCCCGATCCACCCACCTGTACTCATCTCCTCCCACCTGTACACATCTCCCAGTCCACCCACCTGTACTCATCTCCACCCACCTGTACACATCTCCGCCCACCTGTACACATCTCCCGATCCACCCACCTGTACACATCTACTGATCCACCCACCTGTACTCATCTCCTCCCACCTGTACACATCTCCTCCCTCCCCCAACCTTCCTAGATCCATCTGACAGAGCCTCCAAGTTGGGCAGTGGAGGAGATAGTATCTGCAATCCCACCCTCTCACTGTCAGCGGGCTTAGGAAGCTACTAGAGCGCGATAAACACCTGAGATAAGGCACAGACAACAATCTCCCTCAGTCTGCCTTCTTACTCCCCAGTCATTCCCCGTCAGCTTGAAGATTCCGCCTCAAGAGCCATGTCACAAGATCAGGCTTGTCCTTAGTGAAATATACATTTTATGGCTCAATATTTTCAAAAGCGTATTCAATTTCTGGTGAGCTCTCCAATACAACTTTCAAATTTGCATAGTGCAGGACTTAGGCAATGTGACTTAAATTTTTTAAGGTAATAAATGAAATCTAATCCTGCTTGAACTGAAGCTGACATATATATGGTTCATGTTAAGTATTTGTACACAATATTCTGAGTCAGTCACATTCTCACAAACCATTAAAGTGGGAGTTTTCAGGTAATTTGGGCTTTATTATGGTAAAGACGTACAAATGGATTTGAAATTTCTACATTAACAACATTAAATCAACAAACTGTCAGTCAAACTATTGTCCAAAACAATCCATTGAGCTGTGTCTTTGATGGAGGAAGCATGGCCTGAATAATGGAAGACATTTTGTCTTTTTTAACAGCTATGTAACTATTGACATGGTAGAAGCTGTTATTCATAAATTGTGTCTACTTTGTCATCTGTGAACTTCTTAGAATTGCCTATCAAACAATATGTGACTGACTGTTTGAGAACAGCTGAAACGCTGGTCGTGCCTTTCATCCATTCACAGAGAATGAATTCCTATTGAGACAAACCACGGAACCTACAAGACAATTCCATTTCTTACCTTTATGTTTTTTCTTGAATCCTGGCTGTTACCTTGATAGAATATTATCTCTGGTACCAATAGCCCAATAACAAAGCCATGCACCTCTGATGGAACTGAGGTTGTATAGAATATGTCAGCTATATCTGCACAAGCATGAACCACGTCCATTTAAATCTGTAAGAGGTCATAACAGTCATCAGGAGTGTACAATTGCTCGTCCGACCTCCCTCGAAATCGTAGGTTCACAGCTCATCTCAATGTAATCATGACATGAGCCAGTCAAAGTAACTAATCTTTCTTGGGGAAAAACATCCACAACTCCTCTATTCGTCATCCATTGAGAGTTTCATAATCCTAGCATGAAATTAAACGAAGGTGAAATTCTGGCAAGCCATACAAACACCGAGATCTCCTCTGCTCGGATTCGGCGGCAGAGACAGCAGTTTCTAAAGCTCATCCTATCATCTTTGTTGCAAATGATACAATCCACTGATCTTGCACAGGGTCGTCTTGTGGCCCTATTCATAACTGATAACTTCATATATAATCACAGAACACAAAGCGTGCTGCTGAATGGGACATAATTACTTACGTTTACGACAGTGTGGGAAGACGAGAGTATTAAGTGGTGGGAGAAGGTGGAGAGGAATACCTAGATGCAGATGGGCCCCTGGGGATCCCGGGGGGTCCCGGGGGGTCCCGGGGAGTCCCGGGGGATCCCAGGGGGAGACAGGTACACCTGCAGCAGCCTTAGAAATACTGCTGCCATATGGTCGCAGGGGACACCGAGAATATGTACCTACCCATGTGGGGATTCAGGGCCAAGAAAGGTACCTATCCCACATCTATGGCAGGAAGGTACCTATCCCACATCTAAGGCAGGAAGGTACCTATCCCACATCTAAGACAGGAAGGTACCTATCCCACATCTAAGACAGGAAGGTACCTATCCCACATCTAAGACAGGAAGGTACCTGTCCCACATCTAAGGTAGGAGGGTACCTATCCCACATCTAAGACAGGAAGGTACCTATCCCACATCTAAGACAGGAAGGTACCTATCCCAAATCAAAGACAGAAAGGTTCCTATCCCATATCTAAGACAGGAAGGAACCTATCCCACATCTAAGACAGGAAGGAACCTATCCCAAATCTAAGACAGAAAGGTTCCTATCCCATATCTAAGACAGGAAGGAACCTATCCCACATCTAAGACAGGAAGGTACCTATCCCACATCTAAGGCAGGAAGGTACCTATCCCATATCTAAGGCAGAAAGGTACCTATCCGACATCTAAGGCAGGAAGGTACCTATCCCACATCTAAGACAGAAAGGTACCTATCCCACATCTAAGGCAGAAAGGTACCTATCCCACATCTAAGGCAGGAAGGTACCTATCCCACATCTAAGGCAGGAAGGTACCTATCCCACATCTAAGACAGGAAGGTACCTATCCCACATCTAAGGCAGGAAGGAACCTCTATCCCACATCTAAGACAGGAAGGTACCTATCCCACATCTAAGACAGGAAGGAACCTATCCCACATCTAAGACAGGAAGGTACCTATCCCATATCTAAGATAGGAAGGTACCTATCCCACATCTAAGGCAGGAAGGTACCTATCCCACATCTAAGACAGGAAGGTACCTATCCCACATCTAAGGCAGGAAGGAACCTATCCCACATATAAGACAGGAAGGTACCTATCCCACATCTAAGACAGGAAGGAACCTGTCCCACATCTAAGGTAGGAAGGTACCTATCCCACATCTAAGACAGAAAGGTTCCTATCCCATATCTAAGACAGGAAGGAACCTATCCCACATCTAAGACAGGAAGGTACCTATCCCACATCTAAGACAGGAAGGTACCTATCCCACATCTAAGGCAGGAAGGTACCTATCCCACATCTAAGGCAGAAAGGTACCTATCCCACATCTAAGACAGGAATGTACCTATCCCACATCTAAGACAGGAAGGTACCTATCCCACATCTAAGACAGGAAGGTACCTATCCCACATCTAAGACAGGAAGGAACCTATCCCACATCTAAGGCAGAAAGGTACCTATCCCACATCTAAGGCAGAAAGGTACCTATCCCACATCTAAGACAGGAAGGTACCTATCCCACATCTAAGGCAGCAAGGTACCTATCCCACATCTAAGACAGGAAGGTACCTATCCCACATCTAAGGCAGAAAGGTACCTATCCCACATCTAAGACAGAAAGGTACCTATCCCATATCTAAGGCAGGAAGGTACCTATCCCACATCTAAGGCAGGAAGGTACCTATCCCACATCTCAGGCAACACTTTTTTGGCACTTGCTTTATGGATTATGGAAAACTTGTTGTTTGGAAGGGGACAAAAAAAAATTGCTTTAATAGTTTTCTGCTCCACTACAGGTGGCCTAGTATTAAAGAAAATGGTTTAATATGGGAGGAGAGCCTGCAACACCACTGTTGCTATAGCAATGACGAACCTGAAGAATCAAGCAGAAAACTGTTGCGCATCTATCTATGCATTCTATTACCGTATTCTACTAATAAGTGTCTATAAGATATTTGCTAACATATTGGCTAGTGAACAATCCAAATTTCTTCCGATTGATCAATGTACACAAGACTTACTTATTTGTGTATAATACGCACTCGTGCGTTATATGCAACCTCAATTATGGGCAGTTAAATTCTGGAAAAATATATCTGTCATGTATAATACACACAGACTTTTCTTTTGTATCATTTTTCAGGCTGTCACCAAAATTTTATTCTAATAAGAGCCCCATATTTGTAATTTTGAGAGCGCCCTGGGCGCTTATTACGTCGAATACAGTAATTTTAGGAACAACAACAAACTTTATTAGACTCTGATGTTTGACTTCAGTGGGTTCTTGTTTAGAAAAAAAAAATTCTGCCTATTGGCAGGATAAAAAATAAAAAAGCAAATTCTGAATTAACCCCCCTCCATTTTAACAAAATTTACAGTGGGCAGTTTCGTAAAGCAAGTATAAAAGTGTGGCCTAAGGATCAGCATGGTGCTTGGTTGCTGTTGTTATGGTGTATAGTCAGTATGGCAGAAGAGTCCTCCGTGCTGTTGTACAAATAGACTTCAGCATTACGACTGTCGTAAGTCTATTTTAAGGTTTGGGAGTTACGATCACCTTAACACTGAGATCGCTCGGGACAATGGCACCCTGGTATCCATGCTTGTCTAAAGGGTTATGCCATCACAGTCCCATGACCTCATGCTGTCAACCACTTAGGGTCAATGCCACTTTGAACAGTGTTCCAGTCATATCAAGGAGTCACTTCATATGATGTGGGAGAAAAGCCGAAGTATTGTCGGTCTTAGATGTTTACCAGTTTGGTGAAACATTATGTTGCTGACAAACTTAAAACCATAATCTGTGCTAATCAGGACACATTAGACCACTGGGCCACACAAGTCTGAACCAGACTCTTTCTTTGTACATATGATTAAAGTCAAAATCTGCCCAACTCCTTTGATCCTGCTGTACCATGGGAAAATTGATTTTAAAAAGCGTAAAAAATTAAATCAAATTGGTTTGGGCTAAACTAATTAATAGTTTGCAGTTTGTTCGCTAATAATGAAACCACATACTGCTGTTCAGTATACATTGGACAAGAAACGACATGACAACTTGCGACAACTCAAACATGGTCTTCAATATGATAAAAAGTTTAATCTTCTGCTTCATAAATAAATCATGGTTTTATGGCTGATCTGTGTTGGTTAAGGTCAAGAAGAAACACAAATCACAATCATTATTTTTTTTATCTCCCCAGCACTGTTGAGTAACATATCCTGGACCATGTGTTTTAGCCATTAACTCTTGTGTAACAAGTAATTGCAGTTACCTCCCTTGAACTTGATGAATGGGCAGGGGTTATCTTTCCTTCCTGTCGGTTCATGTCAGACATATCATTTTATCTCTGAGAGTTTAATTTGATGTATAAGATGAACAAGATATTTGACACCATTTTTAATCATATGCAAAATGGTTTGTTTATTAGATTGATATTAATGCTTTATTTTTTTTAATGAAATCAAATCTTTGAATCTTATTCCAAGTTTGACAGTCTGACACCTTGATGGAAGTAAATAAAAATTCTCCACCTAATCACAAAAACATTTTCCTTCCTCTACATTCTTATGAGAAAACTGAATTATGTTCTATCTCATACACTGGTCTTACTTGTAAAAAGGATCATTGAATAAACATAAAATATAACAAAACAAATAAACACTATATGTGTATAACTTGACCTAAACAATTATCAAATTTGTATTTAATAAATTACAAGAATTGTTACTCTTGAATTCTTTCTATATTTATAATAAAACCCATATGGCAAAACTTGTTAAATGATTTCAGGGTCATTCTCCAGAACAAGATACAAGTGTAAACAAGATTTATTGCAGCTATCAAAGCAGCAGGTCATAACCCATTTATTCCCATTACAAATAACACATATAAATCTGATACTCAACCCACCTTAATGCTAATCATTTTCAGGTATCTGTACTGGGCAATTTCCTATTAGCCATATTTATATGATCTTGTCATGGTGGATCCTGTGATTTATGATGGTGTGCAACGACAGCGGTAGCACAATTATTTTCTGGAGATGCCACACATTCTCCCAGCCTTTGGGAGCATTGTAGTGGTGCTACCATGACAGTAGTCAGCAGGTTCTACTACACCAAATCAGAATCAGTCGTATAACAAGCAGTTTTCGTAGGGAGCCTTCAGTGCAAATTGAATCATCTGGCAGCTGTGATTGGATGATCTTGTGCAAGATTTTTGTTTTTGAAATGTACATCCATCCAGTAGTTAAAACTGACAATGTTTTTCTATATTTAGTGCTGTCTTTTGATAACATGATGACTTATGCTGAATGTGACCATAGATATATTCAAGTAAATGACATTTGGTGAGGAACTGGGGGTGGTGTGTTTAGCTTCCTGTACTCAGAAAAAGAGCTGGCTTCGCTATAGTCATTTGTTTGGTTTCTATTGCTGCTCTAAGGCCAAACTGTGCACACACATACAGGCTATAGCTGTTGAATGCTTTGTAATTTTTAAAAAATATGACATTTTATTGAAGTCTGTAGGAAAACATTTGGTTGTGTGTAGTCAGCAATATCTTAAAAGGGGGCTAGAGAACTGTAGCTGAGGCAGGAAAACCAGTGAAGACGAAGACCAAACTTTCTCTGGACTGACTGACTTTCACATGTCACACAAAGTCCCTTGACAAACAATTCATACCAACAGAGTTTGTCAGAAAAGAAAGATGTTTCAAATAACCTTTTCTGACAATCAAACTAAAAGAATTTCAAAAGCTGTGGAAT